GTTGTCTTGTTAGTCAGTACAATTCATTGGCCTGCAACAAATATGCAGGTTAGGAGTTCTGTATGATTTTTCTGTTGGTCACGAAAGCAGAAATACAGCCAAAGCTCTTTTGGCTGTACGTCTGTGGATCACAGTACAGTTGGTTCTGCACTCTTGTGACCCATTCTCAGCTGACAGCGGGTTGAAGACACTCAGCTGGTCCAGGATGGGGAAAAAGTCCGACTTTAATGTTGGGATCCACCCCAGTGTCTGAAGCGGCACCTGGCTCCCAACATTAAAGTTGGACTCATTCCCCATCCTGGACCAGCTGAGTGACTTCAGCCTGCTGTCAACTGAAAATGGGTCACAGGAGTGCAGAACCATGTGACCATGTGAGTTCTCACCCTTAGAGCCGGCGGTGGACCGATGCTGCATCCACCTAGGTAAGTATGACTGGGCAAAAACAAAAGAAACAATCCCACACTTCTCTTTTAAGAAAATTTTGATGCCAGAGAGAGCCATACAGCAAGAATTTTGAGGAGGTCATTGATAGCAGCTTCCATTTATAAAGTCAGAAAATATTATAAAAATTAAGTTGTTAGTAGATTCTTTTTTTCATGATAAAGTGGAAGGAAAGGCTTGCTTTCAGTTAAATCTATTTAGTCAGTTGCACCATACTAGTACATATATTGATATGAGTAAAATGTGTAAACAATGTGTCTATAGATGAATGAGAGAGACATTTACAGCTCTACTTCCTTTCTGAAAGCCAAAGCTAGGCTAGGAGGATAGGAGGAACTGAAGCTCACTCCTGTTGAAACTTACCCACATCACAGATGATACCGAGCTAGGTGGGATGGGGGTGTGGTCATGTGGGACTGGGCAGGACAAGTTTGGGGCTGATTGGAGCTGTGCTGTGATGCTTACACAGACACCAACAATAGTTCCAGGAAGTACCTGTGAGCAGCCACATTCAGCTGCATGGACATAACGTTGTAAAGCTTGGGAGGATTGCTGATTGTCTAGATTAGGCTACTGTTTCTAATCAGACAATTAGCAATTTCAGTAATAATATAAAGGTTTTTAGTATCTATACCATGGGAAGAATTTTTTTTTTTTTTTTTACTGGAATTCCACTTTAAGATCATAACACACTACATGGAGTGAATAGCCAGGGAGGTTTGTGGCCAGCTGCTGAAAAAGTTTTTTACTCTTACTGTTAAAGCCTACGTTTACATAAAATACAACATAAACACAAAGGACATTGCTTACCTACAGTGTGATGTGTCCCTTGTGCTTCTGCGTTCAGTAGTAATCTTCCTCCTCCAATGCCCCAGTGCTTCCAGTACTGTGGAGGTTAATAGAGCTAAGGTAGCTGTCACAGGCAGTCATCAAGAGTGCCTGACTATGCTCACCCTTTCCATTCAGCTCTTTAATTCATGGCGGCCATACTAGAGTTTCTATGAATGAAACAAGATATATGAATGGAGGGGGCTGACCTTTCAATCATCTTTTTTCATCAATTATAAGCTGTAGTACGGCCTGTGTGAATGGAGGAGATGGGTGGAAAAGACAAGCATAGCCAAGCACTCTTAATGGGACAGCTAGTTTTATTAATCCCCCCACATTAGCATTGGAGGAAGATTATTGCTGAACTTAAAGACACAAATGCAAGGAACACATCACACTAAAGGTAGGTAATGTCCCGTTGTGCTTATTTTGTGTTCTTTTTTTTTAAGTAAACTTAGGCTTCAAATGTTCTAAAAATATACCTTATTATAGCCACCTTGTTATGTTTTTTTTACATGGACTTAGTCCTGAAACATACTCTTAACGTATTTTGATTTATGTGCTAAATGTGTCCTGTGTATAATTAGCTGTCTACAATACCACCTAACTGTGCCAGCTCCACTCTTTTGTCCTAACCGAGTGCTTACTATAGCAAAAATCAGAACCAGCATGTGCTTCTGAGGACCGCACGTCACATTGTTCTTCTAGCTCATGGCAATGTGTTATTTCCAGAGCATACTTCAATGATGACTTTACCCACAAGCACACACTAGTTGCCAGAGAGAGAATGGATAAAAGTACAAACTAAATGTACACTTTGTCTTTTAGTGTTGCTGCCCCTTGAAGTGAACCTATAGTGTTTTACACTTTTTAAAGACACCTGTCTAACACAAAATACCTGCTATTACCCTTAATTAAACATAAAAGCCATTTCCGTGCCACTCTCTGACTTTGTTTCACTTTAATATGAAGTAATGATTTCCCTCTACTTAAAGTGATTGTAAAGCTTTTATTTTTAATATTAAAATAATAAACATGCTATATCTACCTGCTCTGTGCAGCGGTTTTGCACAGAGCGGCCCCTGAACCAACTCTTCTGGGCCCCTCCTGCCTTTGACCTTGATTCATCCTCTTCATAGCAAGTACTGCTATGGGGGCAGACAAGCTGAGCTAGGTATGTCCATTGACACAAACGGCGTGGCTTCACTCCCTCCTCGCTGGATTTGATTGACAGCAGCAGGAGCCAATAGCTCCCACTACAGCCTCCTTGTCCAGTGAGGAGAGCACAGCGCTGGATCAAGATCAGGCTCAGGTAAGTATTTGGGGGGGCGATCTGAACATAAAAGTTTTTTTTTTTTACCTTAAAGTGATTGTAAAGCTTCAGTTTTTTGTTTATTAAAATAACAAACTTGTTATACATACCTGCTCTGTGCAGCAGCCTAGCAGCCCTGATCCTCCTCTTCTTGGGTCTCCCGCTGGTGCTCCTGGCTCTTTTCATCCAGTGCCCCTATAGGAAACTGCTTCCTATGGCGGCACCTGTGCGAGCCCTGCTGCCTGCATCCATAGACAAAGACAGTGAGAAACGCCCCGCTCCCTCATCACGGAGTTTGATTGTCAGCAGCGGGCGCCAATGGCTGCTATGGATCTGCCCTGTGAGGAGGGACAAAGCAGAGAGCCGCTGCTGTCAAGCACATCACTGGATTGTGATGGGTCTCAGGTAAGTATAAGGGGGGCTGGAGGGATACAAGAACAGAAGGTTTTTTATGTAAATGCATTAAGGTAAAAAACCTTAAGACTTTAAAATTACTTTAATGCAGAGAATGCATTAGCATTGCCTTTACAATCATTTTAAGGCAATACTACACTAACTGGCACCCCTTATCCAATGATGATGCCCATTCTAGCAACAAGGATGAGCTCAGGCATGTTAGGATCCTAGTCTGAACCCACCTGGGCTGTCCTACTGGGGAGCAGTCACTGCACGCTGCCAATCATAAGCGGCTGAGGCAATCCACACCCTGCAGGCGCATGTTTAAACTCCCCTTTGTATATGTATACCACGGCTGCTTATGATTGGTGGTGTGTAGTAACAGCTTCCTGGTGGGACAGCTCAGGTGAGTTCAGACTAGAATCTGAACAAGGCTAAGCTCATTCCCGCTAGTCACTAAAGCAGTCACATGGCAGGTAAAATGGCATTCTAATAGAGTTAGGAAATGTTAAGTCCAGGACTTTTTTTCTCAGAAAATATGTGCAGGAACTCCCCTCTTCTGAGTTGTTTTCCCTACCCACCTCCAATCACCAACCTTGGTTTTACCCCTCTACCCACCTCCCAGTACTGCTCCTTTTAGAGAATACAGAGCCAAGTATTATTTTGTATGGAATTTGTGAATGATAACAAGAAAAGCAGTAAAATGGATCCCCTGCAGCCGGCAACAATAGCTCCCCCCCACAACAGTAGATTCCCCAGCACCAAAAACGCCCAAGCAGCAATGGACTCCCACAACAAAATCCCTTCCCAGCAACAATAGACTCCCAGCAACAACAGCTCTCCCATCAGCAAGCCACAATTGACCCCTCCCTCAACAGTAAATCTCTTTTGGCAACATCTGACCTTCCAGCAGAAATATATCCCTCTCAATCAACAATTGACCTCCACAGCAACAATAGACCACCATGCAAAAATAGATCCTCTCCAGTGACAATAGATCCCCCAGCAGCCAGCATCAATAGACCTTCCAGCCTCCCTTGCCATTACATACGTTCAGTGCTGGAGGTGCCGGAACTGCATTGCCCTGTGCTCCTCCGCTGAAAAAAGCCCTAGTTAAATCCCAGAATAAAGTGAGACTAAATCAGAGTAGGGCACAGATTAAACTTTACAGCATGCTTTTAAATGTATTAAATAGAGTATAGAGTCACCTCAAACAGATTTCAGTCTCTGGTCCATGAATAACTAGGTGACCTCTTCCTAGATGCATCAAAATCAGTCGTTTTATCTCACCTTGAGGCATTTTCCTCCTTCTGTCATGTTCCTAAAGTTGTTTCAAACAGAGATACTGTAAAAAGCATAACAAGACCATGACAAGATCTGCAGCATGAAACCCTGCAGAAAAAAATCCTGTAAATTTTTGGTTTCAAAATATATAGAAAGTAGCAGGGGCGGACTGACAACTAATGGGGCCCCCGGGCAGTAGGGGATCATGGGGCCCCTGTGTCCTTGCCCAAACTCAAAAAAGCCTATGAAAAAGGTACCAGGGGCATCTCATGGGGCCCCCTACTGACCCCGGGCCCTCGGGCAGTGCCCGAGTTTACCAATGGTCAGTCCGCCTCTGGATAGTAGTAATAGTGTTTACTAGTTATTTTTTTAAATAATACACCTATTTCAATAGATCCTAAAATAATTTGTATTGTATATATTTTTACCAAGAATTATCCATTTTTTAATTTTCCTTCTGTAATTAACACACTTCATCATGCTTTACCAAATTCTTTTTATACTGGAGGCATGCTTCTTTTTTATACAAGTTATCTATGCATCACACCTTCATTCTGAATCTGAATTATAATCTAATGAAATTGAATAAATATTTTATTGTTATGATTTTTAGGCCTTTCTTTAAATTTTCTTTTTTAATATTTGTATTGATGTATGTTGATTTATTTTTGTTTTTCCTTTTTGAAGTGTTGAAGTTATTCGCTTGGGACATAGTTACTTTATCAACTGGGACCGTAAAATGTATTACTCTAAAAGAGGCACTCCTGCTGAAGCCCGAACTACTACTCTAAATGAAGAATTGGGGCAGATAGAGTATATATTCTCTGACAAAACAGGGACTCTTACTCAGAATATAATGACATTCAACAAATGTTCAATCAATGGAAGGTTATATGGTAAGAGAAATATACGACTTATAGCTTTTTCTTTTGTGTATTGCATTTATTTAAAGTGGTTGTAAACCCTTACCTATACCCACTATCGCATGCCTGGGGAAGACTGGAATGTTGTGGAGGCCTCTCTTGCCCCTTCTGCCCAATACTCCTGAAGGTGGAGACAAAGAGTCGGAGTGTATGGAGTGGCCCAAGTGCCGGAATGGCTGGCTGGCTGGTTGGTGATGTCCACTCTTTAGGTGGGTAGAGCTGGTAGTCACAGTCCTCAGGACAGAATGCAGCTTGGCTCCAGAGCAGAAGATGGAAGCAGAACCAGGAGACAAGCAGCGGGCAGCAAGTTACCAAGTTGGCAGGCAGAGCAAGTTCAGGAAGCAGGCCAAGTTCAATAACAGCTGGTTAAAGCAGTACAAAAACAACAGGCAAAGAAAAAGCCAGTGAACAAGCCAGGGTCGGAGTAATCAGGTGAACAGGATGGAGGCAAGAGCAGAAGCGAAGTCCAAGGGGAAGCCAAGTAGTAAACAGGTAAGCAGGTTCAAAGGATCAGGTCTCAGGAATACAGGAACAATTTGAAGACCATTCAGCAACTGCTGATAGTGACAGACCATAGGCCACTGATCGCCAAGTGCACACGCTAATTGCTATGTGCATGCATGAGCACAGGCCCACACTGGTTTTCTGGTGCTGGGAATCCAGTTTACCTTGCACCCACTGAAGTGACAAGCCTCTGGTGATACACAAAGATGAAATAACATACATAAGTTTATCTGCAGCATTATCTTCTCTACAGGCATCTAAGACACACAGATCAAAGGCTACTTCTCAGCTTCAGCAGGCAGGGAGTGGGGAACTGATGTCACACACTGCACAGCATAGAAAGGAGAGCTGAGTGTAATCTAAGATGCAAGCAGAGGAAAAGGAGCCCCCCCCCCATCTGCACAGTCTCATAGGGAGACATTCACAGCTGAGGTTGGCAATCACCTTCTGTGTGCTGGGAGATGGCCATCTCTCAGGATTCTGTGGTGTTGGGATAACCTGTCAGAAGTGACTAATGCAGATAGCAGAGGGAACAGAGAGGAGACTGAAATCACACTCAGTGCTTTGGATTGAGGTCAGTATGCATTACAGAGGGATATGCTCTGTTCATTTTTCTGTTCAGATGTTTACAACTACTTTAAACCGTCCATTAAAATTTTTGGTGTAAGTTCTCAGGACAGAAAACGATATGAGTATTGTATAAATCCTTAGAAAAATGAAAGTAGAATTGTTATTAGGGATGCACCGATACCAATTTTTTAACACCGAGTACGAGTGCCGATACTTTTTTTCAAAGTACTTGCCAATACCGATTACTGATACCTATGAAGAGTAGGTAGAGGGGTGGTGCGATACGTGAAAACATGCGATTTAGCACATGACTGCACTGAATTTGGTGTGAACAAGCCCTAAAATGTACTCTGTGAGGCAGAGCACAGTCAGTTGTCTGTAGGTTGTAAAGCTCCCTTCCCCCCAAAATCCCCTCTCTTAGCACAAATTTCCCCTATCCCCCCCAAAATCACCCATCCTAGCACAACCCCCTTTCCCAAATTCCCCTTCCTAGCACAACCCCCCTAAATCTCCCCTCCTTGCACCCCCCCCCCCCCCCAAATCTCCCCTCCTTGCACAACCTCTCCTTTCTAGCACAACCCCTCTAAATCCCCCCTCCTAGCACAACCTCACCATCCCAAATCCCTCACCTACCACAGCCCCCCCCTCCCCCCCCTAAAAAAATCTTCCCTTTTCCTAGCACATATTGTGTCCCTAGTATAGTGATAGCAGCATGGAGAGAAAGAGAGCCAGTAGAGCCATGTGTAGTGCTCTCTCCCCCAGCTACTCTGAGTGATCCTTAGCTCCTGTGCTATGTGAGGCTTAGAGCACTGTAATATCTGTCGAGATGCATACAGCCCACACCTCCCCGGCTCTCTGCTCCTCTCTGTAATCTTACTGGCAAAACAGAAAGCTGAGCTGGCCACCCGACCCGCATCCTACCAATGGAGAACTTGTCGGCAAGAGTACAGAGAGGAGCGGGGGAGGTGCAGGCTTTCTGTATCTCGGCAGAACATTACAATGCTTTTTGCTTCACATAGGACAGGAGCTAACAGAGGATCGAGGATAATTATTGCCAACATTCTTTTTTTTTTTTTTTTACATTTCAGCTGTCAGCAGGTGAATACCGCTGACAGCTGAAATGTCATCGGTTTTTAAGGATGGGGTGGCCCCCTCCTTAACAACACATAATTGCCGGCATTCTAATGTTGACATTTCAGCTGTCAGTGGGGGAATTCCGCTGACAGCTGAAAGAACCGAACCTAAAAGGTAAAACCTAAAGGTAAATGCTCACTATTGGCACCAATTCTGGTACCGGTATCTGTGCATCCCTAATTGTTATAAACCAATGGCACCAAAGCAGGCTTCTAATTCACTCCCTGGTCATCTCCTGCCTTGACTACTGCAACTCCCTCCTCACTGGCTTACCTTCACATAGGCTTTCCCCCTTCAGTCCCTTCGTGAATGCTGCTTCCAGACTCATGCCGCTGCTAGGCTCATTCACCTTACCAACTGTTCAGTGTCTGCTACCCCTCACTGCTAATCCCTCCACTGGCTTCCGCTCACCCAACAAATTAAATTCAAAATACTAACAACAACATACAAAGCCATTCAAAACTCGGGTCCCAGTCACTAACTTAGTCTCAAAATACCAACCAAATTGTTCTCTTCGTTCCTCCCAAAACCTCCAGCTCTCTAGATCCCTTGTCACTTCCGCCTATGCTCACCTTCAGGACTTTTCCTGAGTTTTTCCATCCTATGGAATTCCCTACCCCAATCTGTCAGACTACCTCCTACTCTATCTACTTTTTAGATGATCCATGAAAACCCATTTATTTAGAGAAGTCAATCCTGCCCCCACCTAAGAACTGTACTATATTTTCTCCATCAGTTCATCACCCCACAGTTATTACCTTTTGTATCACTTGACCCTCCCTCTTAGATTGTAAGCTTTAACAAACAGGACCCTCTGATTCCTCCTGTATTGAATTGAATTGCATTGTAACTGCACTCATGTTGTAAAGCGCCGCACAAACTTTTGACACAATATAAATCCTGTATTATAATAATCATCATCATCATCAATCCTATGCTTTCTGTTTCAGCCTGTAAAAAAGTATAAACTAAAATCTGGCAGCTGAAACACCATCTGTCACCTTTTCCTCTGTAGAAATATCCCCTTATGGTGGAAGGCAGTAGAAAACATGTTTATTAATAGATTGGTAACATAGAAGGAATACATGCAAATAGAGAGTGAACTTTTGAGAACCTGTTTTTGTTTTTTGTTTTTTTAATTTAGACTCCTTAGATAGAGTTCCAAACTGTTAAAGCAGAACTCCAGCACTCCAGTCTAACTATACAATTGATGTACATATATATTGGAACTTTTTTACCTACCAAAGGATTTGTATCTCTGTCCATTTATTCACACAGGCTTTTTAGACAGCACAAAGGGCACATGCACTGAAACTGTTCACTATGTATGAGCAGGAACTTGTCAGCACATCAAAAGAGTAGCTGCTCTTCATCCTCTGGGTCTGCTGCCAAAATGAAGGATACCTTCCCTTACTTCACTGTGCAACTCATACATCTAGAAGAGATTTTATTAAATAATTTGTATGGCATTTTTACATTTTGTGAAAATGTAAGCACATGATTTGTTAAAATTGAATCCAAATGAAAAGCAGCACATGGATGATGTCTATATAGGAAAAACTTTAATCAGCTGACAAGCTTTAGCACATGGCACACTGTGTGGTGTATGGTTAATTGCTGTTTATTTTATTAATGATTTAATACAGATAGTGCAGCTGGAATACAAAAATTCCCAATTCAGGGGATAAGGATAACAGTAAACAGATTTGTTTTCTGCTGTTACAGGATACTAGTGTACAATATACAGAAACTACTTACAATGTTGTATGTGTCCTGCTCTAAGTTTAGGTGCATATAATATTTGTTCAGAATTTGTATTCAGAATTCTTCCAAGGAAAATTTATTTTATTTGTTCTGCAGGTGAAGTACGAGATGAACTGGGTCGAAAAATGGAAATTACTGAGGTAACAACTTTTGTTTTCTGCAACACTGGTGCCGGTAACATGTATAGCTTAAGAATATTGCCCATTTGTAATAATACTTTTTTCATATCTTTTCTTATATGTACAGTAAGTTCAATTCCTCTCCAAAAAAAAGATTATTTAGTAGAGGCAGCAAGTGGGAGGCACATATGCAAACTGTTGTAATTCCTACACCGTTCACCTGATTTGGATGTAAATACCCTTAAATTAAAGCTGACAGGCTGCAGTTAAAGCACATCGTGTTTGTTTCATTTCAAATCCATTGTGGTGGTGTATAGAGCCAAAAATGTTAGAATTGTGTTGATGTCCCAATATTTATGGACCTGACTGTATGTGCAGGCCAGTCAAGTTCCTCCACCCCAAACTCGCCATCCATGTCTTTATGGATCTTGCTTTGTGCACCGGTGTGCAGTCATGTTGGAACAGGAAGGGTGCCATCCCCAAATGTTCTCACAAAGTTGGCAGCATGAAATTGTCCAAAATGTCTTGGTGTGCTGACGCCTTAAGAGTTCCCTTCACTGGAACTAAGGAGCTAAGCCCAACCCCTGAAAAACAACCCCACAACATAATCCCCCTCCACCAAACTTTACACTTGGCACAATGCAGTCAGGCAACTACCATTCTCCTGGCAACCACCAAACCCAGACACGTCCATAGGATTTCCAGACAGAGAAGCGTGATTCGTCACTCCAGAGAACACATCTCCACTGCTCTAGAGTCCAGCGGAGGCATGCTTGGTGCTTGCACTTGGTGATGTAAGGCTTGGATGCAGATGCTTGGGCATGGAAACCCATTCCATGAAGCTCTCTACGCACTGTTGTGCTAATCTAAAGGCCACACGAAGTTTGGTGGTCTTTAGTTATTGACTTTTACCACTTGGTGGATGAATTGCTGTTGTTCCCAGTTGCTTCCTCTGTGTTATAATACCACTAACAGTTGACCATGGAATATTTAGTAGCAAGGAAATTTCACGGTTGGATTTATTGCAGAGGTGGTAACTTATCACAGTACCACGCTGGAAATCACTGAGCTCCTTAGAGCAACCCATTCTTATACAAATGTTTGTAGAAGCAGTCTGCATGCCTAGGTGCTTCATTTTATACACCTGTGGCCATGGAGGTGATTGGAAAACCTGAACACAATGATTTGGAGGGCTGGCCCTTTTGGTGTGTGTGAGATCACTTTCGCTGTATAAAGTAACCCCTTATAGTAGTGATTAACTGCAGCTGAACTACAGGTATTTGTTTTTGTACTACAGAGGGCTAATTTTTGTTTTTTAACCCCATCATGACAGGTGATACAGAAAGCATGCTGCTGCATCTAATTGTCTTCATGACAGCAGGCACAGGTAGCTTGCACCAAGTCAATGACATGATTTGGAGGGTCGCCCGAATACTTTTGGCAATATAGTGTACTTACCTACCTGCTGCAGCATCAGTCCAATGCTGAACGCTGTCTCCTGCCGCCTCTAAGCCCAAGAACTAAGTGATCACATGACGACTGATCGCTCAGTTGTCAGGTTTGCGCTGAGCAGAGAGTCACGGCTCTGTGCTCTGCCTCTCCAGTGCTCACTAGAGTGCTGGACTGTGGAACAGCTGGCTCAGGTTCTCGGCACGCTGAAGGGTTGTGCCAGCGACTAGTCAGGAATTGGGGTAGATCCTGACATTATTGTCAGGATTCTCCAAGAGACTGGAGCAGGTCTGTGATTGCAGCGACAGCAGACTTTTTCCCACTGTTGGCTAACTCTTGTTCACAGGAGTGCACAAGTAAGTGCACTCCTGTGACACACCTGAGAAGTATGGCCAACCAAGCTTTGGCCATGCTTCTCTTTTAAAGTCTACATATTAAATTTTAATTTAAACCAAAAGTGACCCTCTAGGGATTGGATTTAGCCTACCCACTGTACTACTTGTCATTTTTTATATGGTATTTTTGCACTGCTTAGTATAGTATTTTCTCATGGGTAAGTTTTCTATGTAAATTTTACAGCTGCTTTCCTGTTTAAATGATTCATTTAGTTTTCTATGTGTGTCCATGTATTTTCCAGAAAACACCACCAGTGGACTTCTCATTCAATACTCTTGCGGATAGCAAGTTTCAGTTTTATGATCACAGCTTAATTGAGTCTATAAAGCTGGAGGAGCCCCATGTGCAGGAGTTTTTCAGATTGTTGTCTCTCTGTCATACTGTCATGTCTGAAGAGAAAAATGAAGGTTTGTATGGAACTAAGCATACCAGCATGTAAATTTAATTTGCTACACACTCAAGCGAGAGATCATTACTTGAAACAAGAACTAAAAGAATACTGGGATATCAATTGTTTTTAGCCTAATCATAATGGCAGTGCATTGCATTTTCAAAATTTTACAGTACTATATGCTGCACAGCCAATGCTGTTGACTTAGATATATTTGTAGACTCTAGAATCCTGTCTCCTCATTTTCTTGCCAGATTCTGTATTTCCTTACTATCTACCTGGTCTTTTTTCATAACTGCTTTACTCAGTTGTCCCATCCTGTCCCCCCTTAGATTGTATAATGCCTGAATGTTTTAGCCACAAAATGCATAACATGTATGCACATTAAACCTCATTGCCAGTTAGTTAAGTCATCCAGTGCATCTGGGTGACTGTTAGCTAGTAAATTAGAAATATTCTGCATGGACTGTATACTACATAGCTTTGTGTCACCTGGAAACACTCTTTATTATTTCGGAATCAATTAAAAGTATTGCTCTTACCCCTTTTTCCCCTCTCTCCTCCTCTTCCTCTCTGTGCTACAAATGAAATTTCCACCTTTCCCTCCTTCTTCCCTTCCCAAACAACGTTTTGGTTCACCTACACTAATAATCTACATGCTGCTAGGTTAATTGGCTTCTGTCTAAATTGGCCCTAGTATGTGTATGTATGAATGTGAGTTAGGGACTTAGATTGCAAGCTCCTTGAGGTCAGGGACTGATGTGAATATACAATATATATATGTGAAAAGCGCTGTGCAAATTGACAGCTCTATGTAAGTGGTTGTAGTAATAAGAGTAATAATCTCCACACGTAACTTCTACCTTCCACTTTAAACGACTACACAACAAGAATCTATCTGATATTAATTGCCTCCTCACACAATGACCAATGAACCTCTACCCTAAGCCCATACTTACTTCTCCAGTTATAAATAACGTATACATAAAATGAGCATCTGACTGCTTGAAGGATAACGCCGCTATACAATATGATACAACAATCTAGGACAATTATGAACCCTGACGTTTCCTTATTTGTATTGGGAGACTTGCTGACATGATTGTAATCAGTGTTAAATATTAATGGAAAATTGCTTGGCCAAACTTGTGATACTCCAATTGTAACCCTTTGTTGAAAATGTGAATAAACAAATTGAAACTAAAAAGTATTGGCTTCCAGAACTGAGGTTTGGGGTACACCAACTGAAACCAAACCTTGAATCATACAGAGTATATCCTGTATTAATTACAAATTTCGAAAGACAGCCCTTGAGCAAGTTTTATATCTATTTACTGTATTAATTTGCTAAACCTATGGATCTTAATGTTAACTTATCTGTGTCAAGCAGCTTAGCAAGTCCAAATATATTGCATCTACAGACATTTCTTTATCCAAGTTTCTGTTTGCATCCTCATAAAAAACAAAGATTTGTTTGACAACATCTGTATTTCATAAGTCTGTGCTGGCTTTCACTTGTATTGTTTTACAGCAAATACTATTCTATGGGTCCTTACCAATTACTTAAATATCTTACCAGCATTAGCAGTTAAACTAATAGGTTTGCAGTTTTTTGAGTGAAGACCTTAATCACTTGTGGTGCCACTTTACTTTGCAACAGTTTGTTGATAGAAAGCCAGTCATTAAAAAACAGTGGCTTATATACTGTACCTAACTTTAAGCTGGCCATAGATGGATGATTTCTTTTCGTTCACTCAGCAGGCTGAAAAAAGAAGATATTACTTTATTCATACAAGTGAGGTGGATGGAGGAATCCCCCGCCACCAGTATTGGGATTGATTTACTAAAACTGGAGAGTGCACAATCTGGTATAGCTCTACATAGAAACCAATCAGCTTCCAGGTTTTATTGTTAAGGCTTAATTGAAAAAGCTGACGTTAGAAGCTAATTGGCTACCGTGCACAGCTGCACCAAATTATGCATGCTTCAGTAAGTTAGTAGAGTTAGGGCTCGTTCACACTTGACTGTTTTACCAAATTTTGCCAAATGCCCCTATAGCGTTTGGCAAGCGTTAGTCCGGCGTTTGCGGAACGTTTTTAAACCCTCCGCAAACGCCGCATGCGCGGTTTAGCGGCGGTTGCAGAGTGTTAAAAACGCCCCACAAACGCCTATAATGAAGTTTAAATGGTGTTACCGCTCCGCAAACGCCCCGCAACCGCGCCGCAAACGCCAGCCGGGCATTTGCGGAGCGGGCACCATAGACAAGAATAGGAGGCTTCAACGCCTCCTGACTCATCCAGAGGCGTTCGTTTTGCCGCACCGCGCCGCGACACTACCGCTCCCGTTAGAACAGCACCATGTGCTGCAATGTGCAGAAATGCCAGAGGCGTTTGGGAAGCGGTAGAAACACTTCCCAAACGCCTCTCTGCCGCCTGCACACATTGCTAGTGTGAACGTAGCCTAAGTTCAGCTAGTAAATCAACCCCATTGTATTTTGACAGGAGGACTCTCCACTGTCAGAATATTCCGGTCAGCGATTCCCTGCAACCGCTAATTGAAAAGTTTTCCAACATTCCCATTCAACAACAGTCAACCTATCAATTGATTTCTGTTGAACTGGGGCGGCCACACATGGGTCAAAATTCAGCAGTTGGTGGTACAAATGTTTTACAAATGTAACCACCTTATATATTTTATATTTACATAGTTGGTAAGATTGAATAAAAACACCAGTCTATCCAGTTCAACGTGTGTGTGTGTGTCTGTGTGTGTGTGTGTCTGTGTGTGTGTGTGTGTGTGTGTGTGTGTGTGTGTTTATGTCACTACCATTTTCCAAATCCCTGTATATTGCATTCTCTTAAGAAACACATCCAAATTTTCTTTTAAATTATCAAGACTCCTCATTCACACCACCAACTGTGGAAGGGATATCCACATCCTTACCACTTTAACAGTAAAGAACTTCTTGCACAGTTTAAGGTTAAACTGCTTCTTGTCAAACTTTTTTTTTAGTGACCGTTTCTTCTTAACCACTTAGTTGGTTATACCAGGATCATGGCAGCTGCAGCCATGGTCCTGGTATGAAAATTGTTTGTAGGCGATGATCGTTTCTGTAAAAGTGAACTGAGTGGCTATAAACGTTTGATCAGTTTTATTGGGGGCAGAAGGGGATTCCTCCTCCCCCACACCCCACCTTTCCCAGGCTATCCCGTTCCATGGGGGAGCCTGGGACCGATGTGAGTGGTCGGGCCGGCTTACCAGAGAAAGCTGGGAAAAACTGTTCCAAATCATCTTTATGGTGTATCAAACCAGAAGCGACGAGGATTTCTTTGCTTTCAGTTTCAGCCCTTTGTTTACTGGCCAATACCAGCTGGTAGATCAGCCAATCAAATTGATCTCAGTTTGATTGGCTGCTTTGGAGGACAGAGGCCTGTCACTGCCCATGCTATCACAAGGGATGTTCTTCATCCCTTGTGAAGCAATACAAAATTAAAGAAACAGAGTAAAATTAATAAATACATTGAAAAAATGAAAGCGCATCTGTCCCCCTGTGCAAATGGGAACGCTCACGTACGCCTGGCAGGCATATGTAAACGGTAATTGCACAGCACAAAGGTATCACCACAAACTGAGTGAGAGCAATAAGTCCCAGACCCCCTCTGTAACTCTAATATCATAACCTATAAATGGTTTTAAACCGTCGCCTGTGGATAATTTAATGTGCCGTAGCATGTCGCCATTCCATGAGCGTGCACAATTTTAAAGCATGACATGTTAGGTATCTATTTACTCGGCATAACATTATCTTTTATGTTTACTAAAGAAATTGTGTATTATATTGTGTTTTGTTTACTAAAATTCATTTAAAGTGTTTTTTTTTTCCTGAAAATTTGCATATGATAAACAAATATTGCATGGCATAACAAATTGTAACAGCCATCATTTTATTCTCCAGGGCCTTTGCTTTTAGAAAATATATGAAGTTTGGGGGTTCTAAGTCATTTTCTAGTGTTAAAAAAAATGCAGATTTTTACATCTATGTGAGAAGTGTCAGGATTAGCTTGGGCAGAAAGTGGTTAAGAGAACTAAGACTATTATTATTATACAGAATTTATATAGCGCTAACAGTTTGCTCAGCGCTTTACAATATAACGGGAGACAATACAGCAACAATACAATTCAATACAAGAGGGATAGGAGGGCCCTGCTCCTTGGAGCTTACAATCTAGGAGAGAGGGGCTAGTGGTACAAAAGGTAGTAACTGTGGGGGATGGACTGGTTGGAAGAGTAGAAGATTCCATTATTAGCTGGGGTCAGGATAGGCTTCCCTGAAGTGATAGGTTTTCAGAGATCGCCTAAAAGTGAGCAGAGTAGGCGATAGTCTGATAAATTGTGGTAGAGAGTTCCAGAGGGTGGGGGAAGCTCTGGAGAAGTCCTGGAGATGAGCATGGGAGGAGGAGACAAGGGAGCTAGAGAGTAGGAGGTCTTGCGAGGAGCGGAGAGTATGGTTTGGGTGGTATTTGGAGTCAAGATCAGTGATGTAATTTGGGGCAGAGTTATAAATGGCTTTATACATTATTAATCTTTTGAATTTTATCCTTTGGGCAATGGGAAGCCAGTGGAGAGATTGGCAGAGAAGGGTGGCTGATACAGAACGGTTAGTAAGGTGGATGAGTCTGGCAGCAGCATTCATGATAGACTGAAGAGGGGATAGCCTGCGATGAGGTGGGCCAATGAGGAGGGAGTTACAATAGTCAAGGCGAGATATAACAAGGGTGTGAATAAATTGCTTAGTGGTTTCCGAGGTTAGGAACGACCGTATCTTGGAGATGTTGTGGAGGTGAAGTCTACAAGATTTGGACAGTGATTGGATTTGGGACTGAAAGGACAGATGGGAGTCTTGGTTTACACCTAGTACCCTGACATGAGGGGAGGGATTGATGATTGTGTTATTGATGTTGATGGAGAAGTCAGGGGGGGGGGGGCATGGGCTGGGTGGAATACTAAGAGCTCAGT